GAAGAGCGCTCTGCATCGCCTGGCCGCGTCAGCAAGCGTAATCATTGTACAAACGCAGCGGCTTTGTTGGCACAAAAAAAACTTGGAAAATTGCTCAAATCTGGACAGACATTATGAGATTGTAGCTAAAAACTACAAAGCGGATTTGTTGGTTTCGGAAAACGCAGTGTCGCTAATCTTCCCCTAAAAGATGTGAGAAGCTGGAATAATGAAGAGTTTGTAAGTCTGTTTGTACAGTTAACAGATGCTTTAATGCTTTTCATAAGTGAGTAACACAACGGATGTTGTGAAGCAACGCATGGGATGCGTTTACAGAGTGCCTTAACAGCTTGCTTGGCGAATGAACGACCTACTCTGCAAGTTTTTGTTATGAGTAAAAAGGGATGCTTGCCGCTGCGAAGTTCACAAATGAAACACAGTTTTTCAATCTAGCAGCGAAAAAAGGATAAATAAAGTGGAAAGTTACCCTGTTCCTTAGCTCACCGAAATTTCATGCAGGATAGTCACGCGCGCGAGCGAGTCGCTAGCAAGCCGTGGCATTTTGTAACCAACATGTTGCAAAAATGAACGAAACAGTACCCAGCGAGTGCGAACAACCCGTTTTGCCTGCATACAATTTAGCTAATACGCTTAGTTAGAGCAACTGACAGAGAATGCAAAAAGGCGTTTTTCGACTCGAAGATCTACAAAACTGGCGAGAAGTATATAAGGAGGCAAAGGTGTTATGCCATCATTTGACGAGTTATACGTTTCAATAGCAGCACTTGACCCATTTTTTGCCTGCTTATACAGCACTCTGAGCATCTCAGTCATTCTTAGATACTTAAGGATTGTTGCGCCTCAACTCCACCACAAAAGGCTTTAGAACTCTAAATCAAGAGAAATGAATGATGAAAAAATCGCAAAAACTTGTTTCCACTATTATTCGCTTTTTTTGGCAGACTACCATAAAAACGAAGCTGAACCTTATTGACTGTTGAATCTTTTTCTTCCAATGGAACTAGAAAGCAAAGCAATTTTAACGCTAAGCAACCTTGATTTTCATCTGCATAACAGAGCCTGAGTAAAGCTCAATATATTTTATACAAAGGCATAACATTCATGAAATAGTCCTCGGAAATGTGGCTATG